TTTAGGTTTGAGTTTTTTTTTCAAATTATTTAAAATGGTTTGGTTTAGGTTTGAGGCAAAAATCGGTAAAATCGGATCGCTTACACCCCTAGGCAAAACTCATCGTTCCCTCCTTTTTTATCATTAAATTATGAGTTTACCCTCCTCGTAAATAGACAAAATAAAAGATAATTGTAAAACATAAAAATAAGAAAAAATTGCAAATGGTGTCCCATTATTTTTTAAAATATTACAAATAAATCTCATTTAAAATAATTAAATACATATAAAAAGGATTTTAAGTACAATTTCATCTACCCCAACTTAGCTCACCCAAACCCATCCTAATCCACCCCCACATGCGATCAAACATATTTTCTTTTTCTTTTCTTTTTTTTTTAATTATTATAATTTTTTTTCAATAATAAAAATTATCCCCAATTCAGCAAAAAAAAAAAATTGGAAACGAAAGTGCAAAAAGAATGAAAAGGTCAAGAGTGAGAGGAATTTTCAAGATATTGAATTTTAGGTTTACTTTTAACTGATTTATGAGAATAATAAAAACATATTCTGTATGCAAATAATGTTATGAAGCGAGTATTCTAACAAGGGTTAATCCATTTGTACATAATGGGATTACCTCTTCTCACATAATGCGTGGGCTCGCGTGTATTTAAAAATTCCAACAATGTGATCCTCACCTCCATTGTGAGTATCAGGTAAAAGATTTGGTAAAAATATTCGGTAATTCAGTCTGATCCATTCTAACAAACTTAACGGATCTCAATTCGAACTTTTTTTATAAAAAATTATGATTATTTTACCTTTTCAACCATTTTGATATTTTTATCTTCCAAGAGATTTCCTGCAAGATTCAAATGTTCTCTTGATCGGTAAGCACAAATTTGTTACTTAAAATAGTTCAATTTTATTCATTTAGTCCTTGTTTGGCATCCATTTTTTTCTCATTCTTTTTCTCTTTATTCATTTCAACCACATTCTATTAATAAAATAATATTACAAATAAACCTAAAAATTCTCCTTACTTTTTAACCACACATTCTTTTATCAAACACTGTTCAAAAATACATTTTTCTGCTAAAATGGATGTCAAACACCCCCTTAATTAGGTATAGGAAATATTAAAAGGATGTTTTTGTACTTGCCTATGTTTAGGATCTGTTTGACTTTGAGATGACTTTTATTTTTTTATTTTTTGATTTTACTTCGTGTAAAAAAACTTTTGGAAGAAATTGTCTTAATTTTTGTTTGAAAATTAAATTTTAAAAAAGTTTCATATTTCGAAAATGCTTTTAAAGGAAGTCACATTAGATCAGTTTTTCTCAAAAAGTTCTTCTAACTAGAAAAAATACTTTCATAAAATTAGTCAAACATGTCCTAATTTTGACTTTTAAAAGATCATGTCAAACGGGCCCTTAAATATTTTATCCATAAGCAAATAAAGTCACTATCTTTAGTATAATAATTCCATTGAGAAGTCTTATCAAATTTTTAACAACCTCGAGAAATTATTGTACACAATCATCTGGAAAAATGGCTCCAGGAACAACAAAATTAAACCCTAAAAAGAATGACAAGCTACATGCATGGAAATCACAACAGAGAAAAAGGTTCTCATTGAAATCCCTCAGTAGTGCAAAAGGTGCACAAAAAGTGCTGCGTGTTTCAAAGAACTCGTAACATCTTACACAAACATCGTATTTGCAAACTGAAGATTTCCTGCAAAAAGATACAAACACAAGGTTTTACCACCACATATGGACGCCGCTTGGTGGACTCCTATCACGGTCCTCCAAATTCCTCGATGTGAATTGTGACTAGTCTCGTCGGATCAAAATCGCAGTCTCTTAGCCAGTCGCTCGAAAAAACATTACCTCAATCAAACAATGATAATTCTCGAGAAAATCCTAATCAAGCAGCATATGATGTATCCATTCAACAAAATTCTAGCCGAGCAAATCCTTGAATAAGTTGGGATTCTGACCAGATGGGGTCACACCCACTTGCCTTACAAGTGCATCCTTCTCCAAAAATTCTTGAACATTTGGTCCCTTGCTTGGTTGTTTTGCCAGATGTGTTTTGGTCACATTTGGAGGTGGGGCAACAGTAGTACTCTGGCTACTAGAAGACATGTCTGCATAGATAGACATAAGATCAGGTGCATTAGGCATGCTAACTTCGCTGGAACTTAGATTGGTCGTGTCTTGTGTTAGATCCAGAAGACCTTCCAATTGCTTGAAAGGATCTACAGACGGTGCACTACTAGTAACAGTTGGTTCACCCAAGTCTAGCAAGTCTGGAGGTGGTTGGGATGTTGCTTTTACAGCAGCAATATCAGACGAACTAGTAGCCTCTGTTATATTAGACTTGTCTGCAGCATGACTGTTAGTCTTTGAAACCTTCTGGCCAGAATAAGATTGTTTTCTGTCAGATTTTGATGCTCCTCCGAAAAGAGAAGCAGCCAATTTTTTCTTTTCTGATGAAACCTCAGGTTGCTGCTTCCTTGAATCATAAGAGACATCGTGCACTTTCAACTTTGTACTGCTTATTGACTCGTGTTGAGTTGTCCCATTATTACTTCCAAAGTTATCACTGCTTGAAGGAGATGGTGTGGTAGAGGAGAAAGCAGGACGGCCCCATTTCTTTTGAACACCATCTAGTCGTAACTTGAGTTCTGATGAGCCTGAACCAGAGACCTTTAGGGCAGATGTAGCAGGTTGGTGGACTTCTGCAACATAAGATGGCTGAGGTATGGGAACAAGTTCAGCTGAGGATGACAGTACTGAAGGAACTTTTGGTGGTACTGAGGATTTAGGAAGCTCGTAGGCTTCAAACCTAAGAGCGTGTGTTGAAGATTCATGATCTTGGCTTCTGAAGTTACTAATGTTTGACAATTCGGAGCGTCCATCCTCCGGAATATATGGCTGAGCTCCCTTTTCCAGTGATTCTTGGACATAAGCACCAAGAAATGAAAGGTTGTTGTCAATCTGCAAAGATTACAGATGTTACAAGTATCACTAAAACGAATTTATTGGGTGAAATTTGTCAAATAGCAATTAATATTATGTGAACAATAGCCAATTAACAGAACTCATAACATATATAAACATAGATATACGACAAGCCATGACAAGAAACTCAGAATAGTGAAATAATATATTGTGCTCAAAATACTCATGATTCTTCAGTGCCATTTTCAAAGCAACGGTAAGACTGTCTTATTATTCTTAAATGCCATAGTTAATGCAACAGTAATTTCAAAGGAAAGACATAACTGTGAAAAATATCATATAGTACCATGCTTATTGTTGTATGACTCGAACTTCCCTCTATGGTTTAATAAGTAAATTAGCGTACCCCAACCATCATATTGAGTGCCAAGTTTGTGGGAGTTTTGAGTAACATAGGGCTAAAGTACAAAAAAATTTATCATTGTTTTATCTTTTAAGTAAGATCATTTATTCACTGGGTTTAGAGTCAAGCACAACTTTTGAGCATTTTGTCCTCAGAATATAACTGAGATAGTGTGGGGAAAAAAGAAGTGATTTACACTGTGGGACAACTTAAGAAAGAAAGGGTAATATCTAACTTGTAGATTAGATATGAGTTTAAAAAGGTATAAGATTTTCGTCTGTGCCCACAAACCATGGAGATCCATGCATTTCCAATTCTACAATTCTTACCATTCTGCTACCCGTTTTGCCAGTATTAAAATAAAAGCGATCTGGAGAAAGCAATCTGGAGAAACAGACCAACTCGGCTTGATTACATGAAGAGGCTGTCTCAGATCCATAGAAACTCTTAGCAACTAGCTGTATCGACAGCGCTACAGCTAGGGGACAAGCAAACTTGAATTCCTGGACTGTGTTCGTCCCATATTTCTCTTCAAACCATTTCAAAATGATAACAGCTAGGGCTTATTGTTTCTTGTAATTATATTTTCCTTCTCTTCCTATTTCATTTTCCTAAAGAACGAAAAAAAGCAAATATCCCCTCACTCAAGAACTGTACTGAAGGTTTAATTTTAGCCTTTCTTGAGCAAGTTGAATTTATAATCTCCTTTATAGCAGTGTCTTCCAGGGCTACAGATACTAGGTCAGCGTACAAAAATAGCCTTTTTTACTGGCACAATTACTAATTAAGAAGTCTCTTATCAGAAAGATAAATGAGTGAATTCTTATCACAGTCATGGTCCCAGAACAAAGTAAATGAAACTAGATTTTCTTTAAAGATGAATATCACCTCAATGTCTTCACAATTTGCATCCATTGGCATAATGTTCTCAACTGCATGAGCATCCAAGCAAATGACTGCTTGAAGTTCATAAGCACGCTGCTGTAAATCTGTTGAGTTGGAGGCCAATAATTCTTCAATCAAGGATTGACACTGCAGCAAGCAAGATAACAGTCCGAAAATTATATCTCGAGTTTGAATAATCATAGTCGGATTAGAATGATTAGAATTCATATTTTACTACTAATTAATATTTTCCGGATGCAAAAACATGCATGAAAATCAAGTAGTTCCCACTCAAGATATTTATTTAAGGAATCCACGGAAAAGGGACAACAGATTCAATTTTCAGTTAAATGGTGAATTAAATGAGATTTTTCACATTATTTTATCATTCAAATGTTGAACCACGAGGTTATGTAGCATGAAACAAGCCAAGAAGAGAACAGTAACAAGAACATTATAATGTTAATATTATTTCTTTAAACAAAATTTGGAGGCTTAAAATGTTTCATGCATGTCCCATGACAGCAAATTGTGAAAGTGCAATCATTCTGTCAAACTGTCATTTAATGCCTGATGAATGCTAATGATTTCAGATGGGTATGCCTAAGCTACACCAAAAGGATAAGACAAAAGCATGTCCTACAGTAAAGTAACATGTCAATTCATAATATAATACAAAGAACTCAGGTTTGCATGAGAAAATGTAAGCAATTAAATTCTATACTTCCAATCATTTAAAGTATAACTTCGAAAGTGCTACATGAACATTTAAGTTTCAAGCAAAGCAAGCTTGTACATGACAAGGACATCAGATTGGCACGTCAAAGCAAACACGAATATGGGTTACATTTCCTACCTCAGGTAGCGTGTCCACTTTTCTCCCAGCTGTTATTTCAAACGAATATATCTTCAGGAGTGCTGTTACCGCATATGCCTTCAAAATAAGCAGGATAAAAATCACTGAAGCATACTCAAAAGAAACCATTTCAGTATAATGACAATGAAATCTCATTCCACTTAAAGCTCACACCGTGTATATGGATATCACGATATCCACGAGAAACAAGTACAAGCATGTTCTACTCGAATAGGCATTTACACTTAGTTGTAGGACTGCTCTTAACCAATCAAAATATGTTGTCAAAATGTAGTGCAGCCAAACGCTACTCATAAATTCACTCCATGTAATGAAGAGAGTTTTGCTTTTTATATGTAGACCACTGCAGCCTCCATTCATGTCAAGATAAATTCATGCGATATGCAACTCAATTGGCATAATTAAAATAAAAACATACTTTGACAGTGTCATCAGTTGAATGTGCCTCAGCCACATCACATAACTTCCCAGTGATATATGAGGCAGAATACTTCCCATCTGCAGTTCCATATTCCCCCAGGACCCAGCAAATGACCTGCATTACAGGACATGGTAAATAGATAGCAGATGCAAGACTTACTTCTATAATGGCTCATGTATAGTAAATGAGAAAACGGAAGGATGAAAAACTAAGTGCGACAGATCGTAGATGAAAAATTAAAAGGAGTAAACAGAACATACTTGAAGAAAGGTAGACGGAAGTTTTGGCTCACCAATAATTCGAAGATATGACTCCACCTGTACCCAACAAAATTATTCTATTTAGAAGTGCTAAAAAGAGGAGTCATAACTTTGACCCATCTATTCTGTTCTTCCTTATGAGAAGAGACAAACAAAAACACAACTATAATAAGTCAGATCGATGTTTTAGAAAAAATAAGGATTAAAGGAAGAGGAAGATAAAGGAGATCTCTGAAGGTAAAAACACAGCAGACAAGTTTCACATTAATGTAAAATATTATCTAAAGCAGATTGCATACCATACAAGGGAGTTACATTCCTAAATTCAGTGATCCAAAAAAATTTATTTTCTCGTAAAACTTGTTAGTATTTAATTTGGAAATTTTCTCATTTGTTCTCTTGGCTAGTTCCCACTCTTGTAAGGGATTTCTAAATATTGAAATACTAGTCTTGTTGATTCAATCGGATACTCATTTATGATTTTCACAATTCTTCGGTCTTAATCTCTCTTTCACTTTATTTCTCTCATCTTTTATTGACTTTTCACCTGTGAACTTTGGATGCTGCCAAAGACAAGACACATGGGTGCTTTACACACCAACAGGCCTAATTGCACATGTGCTTACATGTATCAGCAACTGCAAGTGCCAAGTGGAGTTTACTACAGTAGTAGGAAAATTGATTTTAACATGGTTTGTGTAATTTCGAGGCCTGTCTTTTACGTATTGTTCTTGGTTTGGTAATTCTCCATCTTATTTGTTGTTTCTCAGAAAAATAATTGCAAGGATTCTTGCCTCTTCTTTAAATTGCAAATTGTAGAAAAAAAGAGATCTCATAAATATGCCAGGTGCTTTTTTCCTGAATCATCTCACTGCTAGTCATGAAATCTTTCCAAACTACACAATTCCTTACTAGCATACTTACATGATTTAAGTAGAATAATACATGCACGAATCATTGCTCAAAGAATAACTGTTCAAAATAACAGCTACAGAAGAATTCAGAACTCGAAACAGTTACAAATAAATGAACACGTCTACAACTGCACAAGGTGAGTGAATTGTGAACCAGAACAAAAAAGAAACTTATTAGGATACATACAGCAGATGATCTGAGCTGACTATCTGCAGTATCATCATCCTCTCCAAATCCCTCAGCAATCAACCGCATCAAGTTATGTGCAACTTTAGTATTCACTAGGTCCCCCGCATGCTCAAAAACCTTATTCATGGTCTAACAAGGATAAACACAGCAAAAGAAACAGAAAATTAGTAACTTTGCAAATATAAATGCAGTCTCACCAGGAAAAGCATAAAAACATTATGAATTGGTCCCTCACCTGTATAAACCACTGATTGCTTGGTGCAAATTGCTCTGCAAGTTCAACACATCTCGACGCTATTTCAGTTCTGTAATGATGATCATTGATGCTTATCATGTAATCGATCATACGATCAACTATGACTTCTACATTTGATGACTTTGTCATTTTATAAAGCAGATCAAATGTCTTGCGCTTCAGGGTATCATCTGGGTCCTGCACTGAGAAGCATGTCAGAATTCAAAGTGGAATTGATATGAAAACCTCAATCAAGAAATATTGTTTTCATTTCCCTCTGTTTTCTTTTTTTACATGAAGCACCTATAAACCTATTTTATCCATCAATCTCCCTTAACCCCCTTAACAGTTCATTATCTCAGACCCAAAGGTAACTTGACATTCCTCCAAATATTATCTGTCTTCTACAAATATATGAATTCAAGACTAGTTCCACTTTTTCAGCCCTTGAAACCCTCATAAATTAGTAACCCTGCTTTTGTCTGATATAAGTCTTTGTTAATGCTTGAAGGGACTCATCCAGAACCGATCAGCCAGTTACAGAATCATAATCCAATGAAAATGCTCAGAGAGTTTAAAACATCATTAACTAAAAAGGTTGATCTACTTTTAGAGTGCAACACCATTTTATTAAATTTATAAGCTCTCCAGCTGCAATGATAAATATTAGGGAGTATATCAATTTGGAAATTGGGAGTAGCGAGATGTTTGATTTCAAAACTCCTAACAGTGGGAAGTTATTTTTTGTACGCTAAGAGAGATCAGTCGATGGGCATGCTGAGATAATTATAGCAACAAATAGAACCACTAAGAAAAGTATGAGCTTGCGTAACTGAAAACAAGTGGAGCAATAGAGCCAGTGTTTCATTGTTCCATTCAATAAATATCATTTGCTAGCCAGTTAAAAGAGAATAACAGCATTTCTCACCTCTAAGCAATCAATGACCGCCAGTTGGTGCTGTTCTGCAATTTCTGGGCTTATCCTTATCAACCGACCAAGAGCATCAATTCCAAGATATTTTAAATTGTGACTATCACTCTGTTCATCAGATAAGTATGGTCTATAAGATCAAAAACCCAAAAATGAACTTGAAAATCAAAGCACACCAAGTTGCAAAGTACAGACCTTCAAAAATTTTGAAATGGTGTCTGCGGCAGATTCAAGTAACTTCGGGTTGGGATGTATTGAGGAAACACAGCATATGCACTCATAAAGAACAGCATTCCCAATATTACTATCCGCATCACATTTTCTCATTATGTCGCCTAAAATGGTATACATTTGTTCACTGGACTTTTTGTCTCCATTACCCAATAGTGATAGAATCTTCAATAACTTGATCTGCAAAACAGAGACAACTATGCATAATTAACAAACAAATGCACAAATTGAAAGAAACATATAAATTTAGGCATTCTTCTAAGCTGAAGCCCTAACCAAGTCACGTCCTTTGCAGCTAAACAGTATTTTCGGTTTGCTTCAAAGAGAGATGTGACCTTCTTTTGTAAGATGGTAGTACATATCACGGGGCTGAGTCAGCTAACCCTATGAGATTAAATTATTTAGGTACTTGAGAACAAGAACTTCATAGTACCATAATTTGCTGGTCATTTCAAAGAATGGATATGATCCCTCTCTTTTTCTCTCTCCAAATATCTGCTTCACATCCTTTTTAGGAAATAAATCAACTTATTCTATGTTAAAACTAAGATGGAACTAAAACACGTGGAAAATCACTTGATACTTCAATTCCCCAGTGATTCCAAATGACCATAATCACGTAGAGCCATATCCAAAAGCTTTCCAGACCCTATAGGTTTGCTCCGCACTACTTTCATCCTCTATATTCCACTTTTTATCTCAAAAGTGTTTCATGCGTGTGTACTCAATACTCAAATTTTCAAAAGGATCAATCCAAATGCAATACAAAAAGGAAGACGAAAAATTTGGAAACCAGGTATTTCCTATCACAGCTTTAAGAAGTGAAAGACCGTTCCTTGAACAATTAGGTTCGCCACATTAAGATTCTTATCGAGATGTTAATTTCATCTTTTCAATCCGTTAAAAGCCTGTCCAAGCACGCAATGATTCCAAAGTATCAAAAATCATGAATGATATGTGCTTTATAATTTTATTTTTTTTTGGCCTATTTTCATCTTATTCATTGTTCTTTCTATACAGTTATTACAACGACGACAAATAAGAATATAGAATTTAGTGGCAAAATTCTATGAATAATGACATTTGAATATTTGGTAGATATAAGAAACTGCACTGCGGAAGTTTTACTGAAGCCAATGCAAGTAACTTCCTGATTTTACCCCGAAGGAACACCATGAAGTACAATTCTGCTCCAGTTATAAAACATTTAAAGTTGAGCATATGAGAACATAACCAAACAAAAAAAAAAAATTTGTTTCAGGAATACCTGAATAAATGGAGCAGGCATCTGGTGATAATCATAACTCTTTGGCAGTCTGCGTTCAGCTATTTGCTTAAGAATGTTGACAAAACTAACCGCCAAATCCTTGTAAGAATTAACATCAATCGTAATAAGGTCAAAAAGAGGGCAAAGAGTTGCAGCCATAACACCCGGATCATTGTCACAAAGCCTCTGCAACAACAAAAACAACAATCACTTCTAGGAAATTGAGAACATTTTATTTCCTTATATACACAAACAAATCCATGTGAACATTAAAAACAAAATCCTTTTTTAGCTCCCAAACATTGTTGACATCGCTCTATTTTATAGCCATGCATCCAAATATCCTTGTAAAATTGACAATAGACACAGACAAGTGTACCTCTCTTCTTTCAGGAATCTTTCATGATTGAAGTGTGTTCTTAAATGACACCAGGGCATAATATCATTATAATGAAAAACCAAGCTAAACTAACAGCCTCTGATTATTGCACGAAGCCATTAAAAGTAAAATTAAATAAACAAATTCAAGTTTTTATATTTCTAATTTCCAGAAATTGTCAACTTATCTCCACATATCCTAATTTCCGATCCATCTAATATTATAAAATAAAACTTATGCTAAATTTAAGCAAAATTACTTCCACATAATAATGAAATTAACTAATAACATACTAATTCGTCATCATGATGCTATACCCCTTGCATAAAACAAAATTACACTCCACATTATCCACCTGCCCATCTATACCAATATACCATTGTTGCAAGATATTGATATTTCCATGTTCACATTAACGCATTACATATGCAATCATATCCTAAAAAACAGCTAAATAATTCTTTTTGAATGCTCAAGTGCCCATCCATTGAGAAAGCACACCTTACGGAAATTGGAAATGAGATGGGAGACCGACCCCGGTGCCCTCTGATAAAACCTGTGGAGAGCCATCACTGCCTTCTTCCTCACTGCCTCTTTCTGATGCCCCAAGAGCTCGACAACCTGCGGCAACACAGCAGGTATTGTCTCCTCATTAATCAACCTACACACGGCATTAAGAGCCGCACAAACCACCAAATAATTATCGCTCCTCAAATCCTTCTGTATCGTATTCACAATCAAAATTATCAAATCGTGATCCTCATTCAGAAACAAAGTCACCGCCAAATAACCAGTCCTCTTCAACGACAAACTCTCATCATGGGTCATTTTAACAGCATGAATATATCCAAACGAGGCGTCGTGGCCCAGCATCTCAACATAAATTAGACGCATTAGATACTCCTTGAGTTTGAATTTCGGAGTATTGGGGCTGGATAATCGGGCTTTGAGGGTATCTATTTCGCGCAAAACAATGCGGTCCTCCTCGGCCTTGGATCGGGTCTCGCCGATGGATTTGATGAGGTCAAGAAACTCTTTGGACTGCCCGAAACCGCCTTGGGAGCTCATTGCGAGCTCCCGTCCAATTGTCTTCAGCTGCTCCATCTTTCAAGTCGTTGGGATTTCCGGTCCGAAAATTGATGTAGTACGGATCAACTTCGGGCCGTGTACTGATGATTGGGAATTCGATACTAGATTGTAAGAATTTGGGATTGAAATAGTGAGATGAGATTCGAATTGAGATCTGGGAGATGAACTAAGAGCTGATGAAAACCTAAAGAGAGAGAAACAAGATTCAAATGTATGTAAACGTGTACATCCGGATTTGTCTATATACGACAGAAAGAGAGAGAGAGAGATGCAGAAGAAAGAAGACACGTTTAAACGGAGGGGCTAATTGAGGTACAAGTATTAATGCAATGGGTACTGCATCTGATGAGGTGAAACCAGAGTTCTGTTTCGCCCCTTTATAAAACTATTTTGCATCAAATTCATCCTCGACACACATTTTAAAATAGGAGGAAATGAGGCCCACTGTGAAAAATGAACAAATTAGATTACTATACTTAAAACATATTAAAACAACTAATAGCCATAATTAATACACCCTAAAATTGTTCCACGAGCCCTGAAACCAACTAATTACAAAGAAAAACTCCAAAACCCCTGATTCACCCGACGAAGAAGAAGCATCTTCACCCAAGCAAAAAAGAAGGTGATTCATCCACCAATTAAGGGCTCCACTCACACGACACCACTGATTATAGACTCGAATCGTGGTTGAAGAAAGTGAATAGATGAAAATGAAGAGAAAATCAAGTTTTGTTGAAGGAAATTCAAAGAAAAAAATCTTCAGAAGTTTATAAACTTAAGGATGGTTAATTTTTTAAAACTTGTTTATGGCTTATTTGAATTTTATTTTGAAGTGCTTATTTTCTTGTGTAGTATTTTGTGTAAAATCAAGTTGTGTTTTGTGTCTTTAGGGTTTTGTGATCTCACCTAAATCCCAATACTAAAATGGCGATTTTCTCCGAAAGTTTCATCTGCAAAATTGCAATTCAATAACAATATCGAGTATATATTTGCCATTTTTTGTGTGTGTCCTCTCTTTTTCCTTTTATAGGATTAAAATTTAATAATCCCTTAAAAATATTAGTTCAGGAGAAAAGCACGAGATAATAACGCACTTAAATGAAAAGTTTAGTCACTTTATTGAACTGATTTCAGTGTTTTAATTGGTATTTCGTCACTTTTTAAAAAATTTGTCACTTTTTTAAGTTTTTGTCACTTTGTGTGAATTTCTGTCACTTTTTTTTGTATTTGTCGCTATTATTATTATTATTTTTTTTTTGTCATTTTCTTGAAATTTTTCACTTTTTCAGTGACAAATACCATTTTTTAATATTTTTATTAAAAAAGTAACGCTTAACTTCAAAAAGCGACATTGTAGACTAAAAAGTGATAGTTTTATATAATATTTTTTACTTCCAAATACCTTTCATATGATTTTTTAATACATCGTTAATTTTAGAGATATTTTTGTAAGTTGTCCATAAAATATGATTCGTAACTTTTATCAATTTTTTGACCATATATTTCACTAATTTTTATCAAAATCTACTAAAAAACTGATTTGTATCCAAATCGAACAGGGTATAAAAATCAAATCTTTAACCCCAGTTTGGTGCACATTTTTGCTCCAAGAATACATTTTTTTGTTGATGTGATGAGAAATATGTGGTAAAAAAAATAGGAAAAGTTATTGATGTGATGAAAAATATTATTTTATTGAAAAATATGTGATTGAAAATAAGTAGAAGAATGAAAATGAAAAAAATAATGTCTCAAACAGGAGGCTTAATAGATTTTGAAAAAAATTGATGAAACAATTATTATAAAATTATGATTTCATGAAATGTATTATTAAAATTAATTGTTAATTTTGACTTAAATTTTAATTTATTTTTAACTGAACTATGGACTAAATTTTACTTATCAGGGATTTATTAATAAGAATGTATTTGATTGCAAGATGGAATTTGCATGAAAATAAAATAAATTTTAGACAATTCAATTGCCTAAAAACTATATTAAATATGTTGGTTGATTTAGTTTTCAATTTAAAAAGTATTATACTTGTCCATTTTTTATTGATAAGTAGATGAGAGAGAGTAGATAGATAAGAGAGAGAAAGAGATAGTAAATTATCTAGAAAATAAAATCCACATTTTCTTAAAGAAAATATTTTCCTTGTTTTCAAGGAAAATATGATCACGTGGTCAAAAGTAGGAAAATATTTTTTTCGGAAAAAATTGTAAATCAAAACAGACATTGCCCAAATTTATTGTATTTCAATTCTGATTTTGTAAAGTAAATCATATTCTTTAAAACTCATCTCATTTAAATTTACTTTCACGCATCACTTCACTAAAATAATTTATACGTAACCTCAATTTTTTTTATACTTGTAATTACAAATTGTTAAAAAAAATCCCTTTCTACAAAATTTCTTCCAAAAAACAGGTCTCAAACATGGTTTAAGTTTGCTGAAAATATCTTCTTATGCTTATATCCGGCCAATATTATACGGTCATATGCCTCTATTATGGAGGAAAAATAATTAAATACGTTAGATGAAATAATAAGTAGCTAAAAAGGCCAAATTTAAGTGGCAAACTGTCAATGTTGGCATTTTAATTTCAAGACTAGATAAATATTTGTTTCAAATGAAATGCTAATTCATTTGACATATTTTTCTATTTTCTACCCTTTTCTTTTAATTTTACTTAATTCAAAATAAAAGACATTTCAATACTTTTTAATGGTCTACAAACCTAAAAGTTTGAAGAAGACTGATTGCTACAAACCTGAATTTATTGTTGAAAATTTCTCAAATCTTTCCCCAATCTAGAAATATAACAGATCTTCTCAACATGTATCTATAATTTTCAATCCTCTTCATAAATAGCAAAAAAAGCAAAGTTCAACAAATTAATTTCAGTTCTAATGGCCACAGCAAATACTTTGACATCAAATACATCTACACACTGATCAAGAACTAACAACCATAAGAGGAGGAGAAGGGACGTTGCATATTGCAATCATGTTGCAGAAACTCGACAGCCACCCAAACCAACGATTTATATTGTCTGACCAGATCCGTACTTGAACTTATTGATCTCTCAAACTTGATGCTGCACCATCTTCAACCTTAATGACTTCTAATACAGCAAATTAAGTCTAAACAAGAAAAGGACAGATTACAAAAGCAGGCACATGGTTGAAGAAAACATTGACTAGCAGAAAGAAAAACTGACTTTGAGAAAATAAAACAGAGACAATAGAAAAATATTACCTCACCGAAAATCTTAAAGAGAAATTGAGATTGATTGCAAATTTTTATTGCTTTCTGCTTCTTTATCAAGATTGAAGTAGTCCTGAAGAGCTGTCATCTCAATCTCGTTGCTCTTCATGCTCTTTATTGCCTCAGCAGTGGCTAAACCACCAGCAACTGTGGTTATAACGGGAATCTTGTAAGCGAGAGCCATCCTCCTCAACTTGCGTCCATCTATTTGGTCAAGACTGTCGCCTGAACTAGTAATCACCATAATCTGAATTTGCCCATTGGCGATCATATCGCCAGCATGAGGCCGCCCTTCATGCATCTTCAGTACTCGCTCTACTGGAAAACCTTCTAATTCAAGAATACGAGCTGTCCCTGAAGTTGCAACAATTGTGAATCCAATTCCCAGGAAAGCTCGAGCGATAGCCGGAAGGTGTGACTTGGTCAAGTCATTAAAGCTAAGAAAGAGGGTTCCTGAAAGTGGTAGCTTCTGTCCAGCAGCTATTTGTGCCTTTGCAAATGCGATTGAAGACTCATAATGGATACCCATAACCTCACCTGTGCTACGCATCTCAGGACCTAGAAGAACATCTGCCCCTGAAAATTTCTCAAATGGAAGAACAGCTTCTTTCACAGATACATATTTTGGTATGATCTCTTCTGTGAATGAGATGTCGTGAAGAGACTTCCCTGACATGACAAGGGAAGCGTATTTAGCCAGTGGGTGGCCAATTGCCTTGGAAACAAAAGGGATTGTCCGGGATGCACGGGGGTTAGCCTCAAGCAAGAAAACGTCCCCAGAAGCTGTGATGGCATATTGGCAATTCATGAGTCCGCACACATTCAACCTCTTAGCCAATTTTGTAGTCCACGATCTAATAGTGTCCAAGCATGAAGAAGAAACTGTTTTAGTGGGAAGCATGCATGCTGAGTCACCTGAATGAACCCCAGCCTGTTCGATGTGCTCCATTATTCCACCAATCACTACATTATCATGCGAGTCAGCAAGTGCGTCAATATCAATTTCTATTGCATCAGATAAATATTTGTCAATCAAAACTGGACGCTCTGGATCCACCTCAACAGCAGTTTCAAGATAAGTTACAAGCTTGTCATCACTATAAACAATCTCCATTCCTCGACCGCCCAAAACATAGGAAGGTCGGACAACAACTGGGTAACCGATATCTGATGCAATGGCAAGAGCATCTTCTTCACTCTTTGCAATTCCTCCTTTTGGCTGCTTAATCTCTAATTCATTCAAGATTGCATTGAATCTCTCCCTATCCTCAGCAGCATCAATAGAATCCGGTGATGTCCCCCAAATACGAACAAATCCATGACCACTTCTGCACCTAGGCTTGCTATCATCTAAGAACTGCTGAATCGGAAGAGACAGTTTAAGTGGAGTTTGACCTCCAAACTGCACAATGATGCCATCAGGTCCTTCCAAGTCAATAATATTGAGAACATCCTCCACTGTAAGAGGTTCAAAGTAGAGTCGGTCACTGGTGTCATAATCTGTAGATACTGTCTCAGGATTGGAATTCATCATTATTGTTTCATAGCCTGCATCCTACATCAACAAATAAAATCATAGCTCTAGAATCAGAAAAAGAATAAACAAATGAAACAGAAATGATTTATCCAGGAGTGCTATCTGGTGTTCCTTTCCCAACATGTTTTCAAAAATTACAGATATTATCCATCATGGTAAAAAATCAGCAACAGACAATACCGGATTGAATACATTTTGCTTCAT